CGGGTATCCGCCAGCGAATAGGGGGTATCCGCGACGGATACCCTTCGACCATCTCTAATCTGTGCAGCCTTGATCTTACAGTTATAAGACACCATTGGGTGGAATTGTAGCTGACCCAGACATTTGAGAACAGCTCTGACCAAAAACCTGGTGCAGAGCTGAGATTATGTAGGCCGTTCAGGGAGTGATAATCACACTCCACCCCCCTTCGCACACACACTCCAACACTCCCTTCAGAAAGGGAGTGTGGGACCGCACTCCAATTGAAATTGGAGTGCGGGTCCACACTCCAACCCTCTGCGCGGGCATTCCCCCAGCAGGTTGGCGTGCGGTCCGCACGCCAATTTTGATTGGCGTGCGATGCTGCACGCCAGCCGTTAAGCGAGGTTGCCTTGCTTGCAGGCAGGCGTGCAGCCAGCGATTCCATATGCCTCGACCTAAACCCATATTCATATGGGTTTAGGTCGAGGCATATCCCATAGGACCCAGGGATGGGTCCTATGGAGAGACGGTCTGACCGGTTCAAACCTTGAACCAACATGGGTTCAAGGTTTGAACCCTGACGGTGTAGTATGCCAATTGTGTTTCAAGTATCAAATTGGATAAAGTCACAGTCCAATTTGTAGAAGGGCATATATTCTTAGGCGTATTATGGCATAATCACATTCTACGGGTCATTTAACCCATAGTCACTCACTGGAACCACTAGGCTAGCTCCACTCAGTCAAACGTTATTTGGGATTTAAATTTTATTTGCATAAAAAATGATTATTGCATAGTGTAACCACAAGTTGGCCACATTGTTTGTAGGTACACTGTGAATTTTGTATAGTAGCAAAACCACAATTTGGCCAGATGATTATATGCATATTCATTATAGGTTAGGGTTAGAACCACAAGTTGGCCATTTATAGATTATAGGTTAGGGCTAGAACCACAAGTCAGCCGGGTTGTAAAATAGACTATTTAAGGAGGGGCTTTCCCCCCTCATTCCAATCATCTCATCATCTCATCTCATCAGATCATCTCATCACAACAGATCATCTCATCTGATCATCAACCAGACAGAACAGAGCAATCAATCCATACATTAACCAGTGTGATCTTAATAAAAGTGCCCCATCGAGATCATTCAGACATTGAGAAGCATAGGAGAAAGAAAGTAGTAACCAGTACAACTTGTGATCTTAAACAAGAGACAGTGATCTTAAACCATTGTGCTCTTGACCAAGATTCAAGGAGGAAGGGAAAGACACGGTCAATAGTCACATTTTTCCTCACTATCATCTCATAGATTCACATTCATCATCAGTACATACGTCAATCATTTTTCAAAATACATAAACATATAAACAAAAAAACATCTCTTACTCAACATTTCCACTCGAATAGTCTGCTGAATCCACGTTGATCTAGGTTTGATAAGAGACTGCTACCCATAGTTTCTCTATCATCAGTTTTTTGCCACAACAATAAATAAATTGTTGTGTTAACTCTAGTGTAGTACAATAGAGGGGCAGGTCTTTCAAACCAGCCGTAACAGTTGTAGTAGATCATTACATACGTGATATATCTCATCTGCTATTTCCCCCTCACAGGACTGCCACCATTCCCAAAGGAGTTCTCACAACGGCCATCGGCCAAGGTTCAAACCTTGGCCGATGGCCTTGAAGATCCCTGTAGGACCCAGGCCTGGGTCCTACAGGGATTCGCTTTGTTTGAACCCTGACGGCCCATAGTCCAGCTCATCGGGAGGAAACCCTTCCGATGAGCTGGGTTTAAGTCCAGCTCATCGGGAGGGTTTCCTCCCGATGAACTGGTACATAGTCCAGCTCATCGGGAGGGTTTCCTCCCGATGAGCTGGTACATAGTCCAGCTCATCGGGAGGGTTTCCTCCCGATGAGCTGGTCTTAAGCCCATCTCGTCGGGAGGGATTCCTCCCAACGAGATGGGTTGTACACCCTCTTGTCGGGAGGGATTCCTCCCAACAAGATGGGTTGTACACCCTCTTGTTGGGAGGGATTCCTCCCAGCGAGATGGGCTGTGATTTCTCCCTCGAACTCCGTATTCCTTTGCGTTGTGAAGTGCATCACAGAGTATTTATGTTCATGTTTGAGGAGTGAAAAGGCGACTAAGGTTTGTTGAGGAGAAGAAACCAAAGCTTCGAACCCCAACTGTGGGAATTGCTCGATGTGAAGGGTACACTACGGGGGCACTTTTAAGGTTTGGGTTCGCAAAAGTTGCGAAATATAAGAACTTCGCAAGTTTGACGAAGCGTTCGCAAAAACTTTCGCAACTTTTGCGAAAGTCTCGTAAAAAAGGGCAAAACAAGTTGCGAAAGCAGCTTGCTCAGGTTTTGATCCGGAACAACACCGGTTTTTATGCGGGTTCTGCCGGATCAAAACTTTAAAAGAGCATTTCGCAAGTTGTTTCGCTTTTTTGACGGAACCTTTGTAAAAGTTTCGCAATGTTTTGCGAAAGCTTTGTCAAACTTGTGAAGTTCACAAGTTTCGAAACTTTTGCGAAAGTATTTCGTTTTTTTTGGTGCAAGAGACCCGCAAGGTCATGTGAAAAAAATACTGAGAGGATATTTAAACCGCTCGCACGTTGAGCAGGTTGACTGGATCGCTTCCCCATCCTCCCCATCCCTCCCTTCTCTCCTTTTTGAAGTCATCTCATCTCCTTTTTCATCAACAAGATCGATATTAACCATGCCAGCTCATCTTCAACAGTAAGCCCATTCTCTCCCTTTATATAGTCTTTTTTTATTGTTTCTTTATCTACTGATGAGGATGTCCCAGAAGCTGACCAACAACCACTTTCTGAAGAGGAAGTCAACAAAAAGGTCCAGTCCACGACTGCCCAACCCGCTCCACAGGTAGCGCTTCAGCCTCCAGAATAAAAACTCAATCTTCTTGTTCCTCTCTTCTCTCATATTGACAACACTATTTTCTTTTTTTTCTGCTTTGTTCTTTTCATTATCTTTTCCTTCTCGTCTCTTTCAGTCAACAAGGAATTCTCTCCTCTTCTTCTCACATCACTTGTACTCTTGCTTTATCATATGATCAATCAATCTGATATTTTTATTTCACTCCCTCAACTCTTTCGATCGATCAATCCGATCAAAAACTATTTTCTGTCTATCTATCTACATGCAAGAAATACATGATTTATATAAAACCCCGGCAGTGCAGTGAGTGAGCGTAAGCATTTCAAAATGGTTGCGAAAGATCCGATATTCTTCGGAAATAGCTCGAAACTATTGCGAAGCTATTTCACAACTCTTTCGGAATCGTTGCGAAGTTGGGCTTCGCAATTTTTCCGAAAGAGCTGTATTACGCAATTTTTTCCGCAATCCTCACGAACATCTTTCGCAAGTCTTGTGGAAAAGGCTCGCAATCCCGTTCGCAAGGCACTGCGTAATCCACCTGGACCAAGGTCCGGGACGTCCTCCCCTGCAGGCGCAGGCTTCGCAACTATTGCGAAACAATTTTGCAATAGTTGCGAAATCCAGCGCCCGTAGTGTAATGTACATGCCAGGTCCCTTTGAAAAAAAAAAAAACCCTTGATGAGCTTCTAGGCAAGATGACATAGTCAAGAACAGATTCCGATAGTGCTTACAGCTCCTGCTTCCTGTTCATTTGCTTTGTGAGCCAACTTTCAGCCCATGGATTTCCATCCTTGGAAAGCAAAAATCTTTGAATAATCGATTGGTAAATTTTCGTAAGGGTCCCATTCACTCGTTCGAAGACTCTTCATCCCTCTATATCTTGCAAACCTTTCTCGGGCTGGGATATCTAGCGGAGTATCTATTTCATCTGGAAACTCTTTGTCTTCTTTTGCGGCGCGATCTCGTTCGCGTTGTCGGTCGGCGCGATACTGAGCTAGGTCGGCCTGCTCAGCTTCGTCTGATAGGTCCATAAAGTGTACATCCTTGGACGATCCGGCTTGGTTGTTGACTTTCAAATCCTCCATCTCATCTTCATCATCATCATCTTCCTCAAGTTGATCTGGGGATTTGTCGAACTCAATATCTCCTTCGATATCTCCATCTTCTTCTTCTTCTTCTTCTTCATTGTCTTCGAGACCTTTGCCGTCCTCGTCAACGATCCATGCAGCCTGGTATTCACTGGTACCGACGGGAACACGTCTCGCTTTCTTGTTTCTGGCGGTCTTCTGTTGGTGGGCAGGTGCGCTAGCTATTTCTTCTTCGGTTGGCCAGGTTTGTTCGGCCATCAGTTCGTCACCCACTGAAGGACAGTTCTCCGAGACAAGGTCATCTGCTTCCTCATTTGTACGAACTGATATCACTTTTCCATCCTCAGCCATGGTCATCATACTGACTCGAAAGTCACCGAAGAAGGGCAAATGCACTAGTCTGTTTGCACTGAACCTTCCGCCTCTGACATGCCCGGTTACTTTCAGAGTTCCCTCTTCCCAATCAATCTTTTCAGCAACCAGCCGAGCTCGACCCTCTCTCCAGCCGAGTGGAAGGCCATTTGACGCTTGATTGGGTAGTTTGGCGAGGATGCTCCGGACTGCTACTAAGATTTCTTCAGGCCTATCGACTGAGACGAGCCGATTGAGTAAGAGAGATTTGGGGAAGAAATAGCGTAAGAAGCTGGTGAGACTCTCGCGAGTTTTTTGAGTTTCTCTAGTTCCGTTTAATGATTCGAGGTGAGAGACAAGTCCAAGGACGCCCAGAGTTGGACCACCAAGCGCTTGCATAGCCCTGAGGGTCGATTCACCCCAGGCAGTAACTTCTTCTACGGCCAACAGAGGAGTGATCAAGAAGTCGGATGCAGATACGGTAGATAGAGCCTGACCGAGTGGTGTACGGTGTGGGATGATGAGGAACTGGAGTGGTTGTACACCCTCTCGTCGGGAGTAATCCCTCCCGACGAGAGGGTGTACAACCCATCTCGTTGGGAGGAATCCCTCCCGACGAGGGGGTGTTCAGATTAGCTCGCCGGGAGGGCTTCCTCCCGGCGGTGTGAGCTTTGCCTCAAGGTTGGAGGAATTCCTCCGACGCTTGAGACTGTACAAATTTCCAAGGCCAAGAGGGATTCCTCTCGGCCTTGAGCCATGTACAATCTCAAGGCCGGGAGGAACCCCTCCCGGCCCGAAGACTGTACAATCGTTTGGGGCTGGGAGCCCCAGGTCTTTTTCTTTTCTTTTTTCAACAGCCTCAACGGCTCAAGCCCTGGGCTATCCCATAAGACCCAGGCCTGGGTCCTATGGGATAGCCCAGGGAATATGTACATATGTATAAAGTATACACATGCACACTCCCATACTCCCCTCAGAAGGGGAGTGTGGGACCGCACTCCAATCACAATTGGCGTGCAGGTCCGCACGCCAACCTGCTGGGGGAATGCCCAAGCAGAGGGTTGGAGTGCGGACCCGCACTCCAATTTCAATTGGAGTGCGGTCCCACACTCCCTTCAGAGAAGGGAGTGTTGGAGTGTGTGTGCGAAGGGGGGTGGAGTGTGATTATCACTCCCCAGGCCGTTCTGGGTGCAGGAAAGATTTGGAACTGTTGGTCAAGTGGATGAGATTGTGCACTGATCTTGTCACAAAGGCTGGATGGCCTTAAGTACAATAACTCTTTGCCTTCCAATGCAGACTGGTAGCTATACCAAGTATATTGGTTTATGAAGCTGGCTGAATTACTCAATGTGAACAACACATGAGATGGGCTAGAGGCATGAAATTACAGGCAGTATAATTATCTAACACACAAAAAAAGGTCCAATTAGATCTTCCTTTTCTAAATGAATGGGCAGCCATCTATAACTTACATGTGAGAAAAAAATACAAGAATGATCAAAAACCAGCAAAGTTTTATGTTTGATGGTCAAATGTAAAAATCATAATTCATGATTCCTTATGTTCTTCAATCAAGTCACTGTTTGTTTTCAAAGCTGGAATGAGCAGCAAATTAAAAAGAATGAAAGAGAGACCAACTTGGTCTCTCTTTCCCTGACCAAGTAAGAGGGAAGCCAAACCCAGAAGCTACCACATGAAAATGAAAAGAGTCACAAAAGTGTCCTAGCCAGGTCTCTGCGCTAACACTACGCGCATGGGGTGAAGCAAGCACCCTCTGTGCTGGGCTACAGCACTTCTTAGCGTTTTTTTTTTGGCCTTTTTTCCCCTAAAAGCGCTGTAGCGGTGCACTAACACTACACAGAAAAAAGCCACCTGTTAGCGGTGGTAGCGGCGCGCTAACACTACATAAAAAAGGGCCGCTACACTAACGCTAAGTGTCCCTTTAGTGTAGTGTAGCGCAGTGGCCCACTGCTTTAGGAACAGAATGATGTGATCATTCAGAGAGACAAAGAAGGAACTTGGCAGAAAGATGCAAGCTAAATTTGAGGAGTGACTTACTTATTGGTGATCCTGACACAAAGAGTGGGAAGATTCCAATAGTCAAGGGACTCCAAACAATAACACAGCAATGACACAGCAGTGAATCCAAGTTGAGGGTTGCTGCTTCTGGTCTGAGTTGGTTCTGGGTGGGTCTGAAGCTTGAAAATCCTGATAAAGCAGACTCAGTATCCTCTGACAGGATTTTCAGAGTTGGATGACATAATAATTACATCTACATGTGGTTGCAAGATAGTGAATTTGAATTTGGTTGGTATTTCACAAGGTACAGTGGGTGGACCGTTATTTTTGGCTGCTTGTTTTGGGTTCTACAGCTTCAAAGCACAAACTTCAAGTCACAAGACTTGGTGAATTGGTGCAGAATAGGTCCCAAAGAATGAATATGAAAAAATAAAAACAAAAAACAAGGTTTCAAAATCTGTAAAAAAAAGTGAAAATATTTTTTTCCAAAAGCTTTGATATTCATTTTGGGGGAGTGTGAGTGCTGGAAGAAAGAAAGAATTTCCAATGGGAAGAATGATTATAAATGAAAATTCTAAAAAAAATGGTTACCAGTTGGTTTTAAACAGCTGTTGAGTAGGGCATTCACCAGCTCACATTGTAGTAAAGCACTAGAATTTACTGTTTTGGATCCAATCTGGACAGCCAACCTGGCTCACCCTTTTTTGGTCCCAATTTTTTTCATTTATAATCATTCTTGCCATGTTCCACTCTTTCTATGTCTCAGTACTCCCACTCCCCCAAAATCAATAACAAAGCTTTTTGAAAAAAAACATTTTTATTTTTTATTTTTCACAAATTTTGAAACTTTGTTTTTTGTTTTTATTTTTTCATATTCATTCTTTGGGACCTATTCTGCACCAATTCAACAAGTCTTGTGACTTGAAGTTTGTGCTTTGAAGCTGCAGAACCCAAAACAAGCAGCCAAAAATAACGGTCCACCCACTGTACGGAGAAATGTTACAAAGTCAATGAAGGAGAAGAGTAGTGTAAAACTGGTTAGTGGTGACTATGGTTGAAATTAAATGAGGAATTCATTTCTGAAGTCAGAATGTAATAAAATCTTAAGCTTAATAAGTTACAGTGGGAACATGGATGAAAAGGGGGGACTTAGGCAGTCTTTTGGCCAGATTGGCTGGCTCTAAGGCTGACAAGGTCTGGTATGACCACTCCATATTGGGAAATCACAGCATAAAAATCCAGAAATGTATCACCTGAGCAATTTAGGAAATCAAAGGAGGGAAGAGAAGCAGATTGATCTCCCTCATTGTCTGACTCCTAGTAGGATCCATTTCTGGAGAGTTGCCAATTCAGGTGAAATCCAGAAGGAGAGAGGGCTTTGGTTTTTTTTTAAACGGACAGGGGTTGTTTGTTCAATGTTCAAACTTATGATTGTTGGCCTAGCCATGTGTCCAAAAATTCCATCAAAGCCTTCCTAAAACATTTTGTACTGGATTTCAGCCTCAATTCTTTGTCCCCTTTCATGAACTACAATATTGGATCATTTTTCACTATATTTCTACTATCAAAAACCAAATCAGGTCAAGTATTCCAAGTAGTTTTGGTAGGAAATGGGGAAAACAAACCCTATTTTCCTCCTCAATAAAAATACCAGCCAGGCATTCTAAGATCAAATTCATGTGTGTTGTGAATGAATGGACTAGAAGTAGTATTTAATAAGTGACAGCTAAAGATATACAAGATAGAAAAGAAAAAGAAGTGAGAAATAATAATCACCTAAAAGCAGTAGATGACTAATGAAAAGAACAACAATACACTATTGTACTATAACAGTAAGAGAATGAACAAGAGAGATCTGACAAAGGAGAGTAGGTCAATATGAGAAAAGTGATGAGGAGAGACCAACAAAAATCTACGATGAACGAGGAGAGGTTTCAAAGAAGAAGGGATTGGCGGTTTGTTGAATAGAAGGTGTCAACAAGTTGTTGAGTAGAAGGGATTTGTTGATGCAAGGATAAAAGAAGCTGAGAAGTCAATTGTTATCACAAGAAGATGAACAACAATCTAAAGTGAGGATGAATGATGATGTGAGTGACCAAGAAATGATAGTTGTCTTATGAGAATGATAGAATAAGATCTCAAGATAAGATGACAAAGAAGGTTTAATGTCAAGTCTGGGAAGGATCAATGTAATGGAGAGAGAGGTTAAGTTATTTTGATTAGAGAAGCTTAGCAATGGAGGAGCAAGTCAGATGTAAAAGAGATCCTGAGGAAGAATAACCAAGGGAAAGAAAAGAAGGGATTATATGGACAAGAGAGATGGTGAACCGAGCAATGTGACAAGGTCAAAATTGGGAAGTTTCAAGCTTGATGATGTCATTTCAAGGCCTTGAGTATTTCAATCTTGAGAGATGACAGTAGAGTAGAGGTTTAGGGAATTTATGGACTAAAGCTTAGACATCAACATGTGTCTCAATGCAATGCTATCTTGATCTAAGGTTTTTTTTTGATTTTGTTCAATACATGAGGGTCACTTATTCATTTCTTGGGTTTGTTTATTTAACCAGAACCGGACAGATACACTATTCTGCAATTTTTGACCAAATGGTGTTAGTGCAACAGCACTTTTTTGCTTGCAAATTGTTTCATGTTGGCTGGTTTCTGTTATGATATGCTGCACTAAAGGCTAACAGAGGGCCAAGATTCCACAAACCAATGCATGTGCGCAGAATAATGGGCACATCTCAGTGGTATTTTTGTGTAGCATTAGCACAGAAAGGAAGGAATTCTGGTGTTCTACACTAGATTTTATTAGGATTTCACTATGCTGTACCACACTAACTCTACTGTGAGTGTAGCTGGCCCATCTTTGGTTCAAAATTCAGGTGCTGTTTAGTTGGCTGGTTGATAATTCATATAAACAGCATATGGGAAATGTCAGCCTTAGAGCCAACCAAGTTGGCCAAAAGACTGCCAAAACTGCCCATTTCTATTCAAAATATTATCATATCTTTTTTATCTTAAGACTTTTAACCTTTCTGACTTCAGAAATGGATTCCTGGTGTAAAATTAACCCTAGTCACCACTGACCACTTTTACCCAACTCCATTCCTTCATTGACTTTGTAATAACTCACAGTACTCCAAGAATTATTCCAACCTTAGGTTTCAGCTCCCTCTACCACATGTACATGCCAGATTACATAATCCAACTTTGAAAATCCTCTCTGAGCTTGTTGATTCCGCTTCCAGAGGATTTTCAGACTCCAGACCAACACAGAACACAAACAACCAGACCCAGATCAAGCAAACACTTATCACCCAGAAGGACCTCACTTTTCCTACCTTTCCCACTAATCAGTGTCATTGGTATCATTAGTAAGTCTCTTCTCATAAGTTAAGCTAGCATCTTTCTGCTTGTTTCTCTTCTCTGTCTCTCTCAGTTTCTCTTCACTCCTCCTCAACCCAAAGCCCTGATCAAAGAAAGCAAGCCTTAGCTTCTATTATCTCTTCTCTTCCTGTTTGGTAGTACAACTGAAAACTACATAGGTTTCCCTTTAAAGAGCCTTGATCTTTGATCTAAAAAATTGTGGTTGACCTGATTTATCAGTGTCAATACCCATTTCAGTTTCTGTTGATTTGGAGGCGTCAGAGTTAGCTCCGCTTATAACAGCCATCCTACTAAGGAAAGTAAGACTGTCTGCAGCCATCCAAGAGGGACAGTAAGACTGCCATAATTTAATCTTCTTCATAAAATAAACAAAGAACAAAAAGATTATTCTATTCTTTTCCTTTCTCTTCCTTCCCTCTCTTCTACTTTTACTTGTATTTCCTTTATCTTGAGAAATACATTTAAAAGTGCCCCCCAAAACCTTGTGTCCTGCAGTCACTATTGAGACCCAGGCTCACAATTGGGGGCCTCATCGGGAAATTCTATTCCAAAGACCTCTTTCATAATCATACTTTCAAACTTAATCAATCAGGCCATAAAAAAAAAAAATATAAAAAAAAAAAAAAAAAAATCTCTCTTCCTTCTCTCTATCTCCAGGAAGATAAGATCAAAAGAAATTATATATATATATATATAATAATTTCATTCGAAATAAACCCACAAAAAAAAAAAAATTTTTTTTTTGATTTTTGTCTGTTTTCAAAACCAATATCATAAATCCTCATCGCGAAGCGCTCGCCGAAAAACTCTAAATCCCATCGCGGAGCGCTCGAAATTTTCTCATAACCGATCATTCTACGAAGACCAGAGTCATTAACCAACTCGCTTGTCCTTTTTTCTTTATTTTTCACCATTCATCATCCATCGGTCGAAACCACTACCCTCCTTTGCGAAGTGAAGAAATCTAGACGGATCATACCTGACTCCTCGCCAGAACCTTCGGTTAACCTATCGTCAGATTTATCGACGATTTCGTCAGGATCAGAGACAGAACCCGATAGCTCAGAACCAGAGAAGATCGTCCCTCCGAAGAACGGCAGCTTAATATCTTCTAAAGCCTGGACTCCGATCAATACCTCTGGAAAGCCTAGAACGAAAAAGAAGAAGAAAAACCTACCGTCAGAGACTGAATCAATCCGCTACCCCGAGTGGACGCCGGAAGTTTCTACATACCTAAACAAACCAAAAAAGAACAAAAGCAAACCTCGAAATAAGAAAACCAAAGGTCTGTCTTCACCTTTTGAAATCCTAATTTAAGAGAGCGAGCTACCATTTCGGAAACTGAACTAGTCCGATTCCTTTTCTTTTTTGAATTCAATCTTCCTGAAAATCGTTACGAAAATGGGTGCCCACCTTAGAAATGGAAGGAACATCTCGATCGAACAGCAACAAAGAGACCTCCAACGCCGAGAGCAATCAAGACGAGAACCAGGAGCGCCGTCAGAGTCCGGAGAACGAACCGGACTTGCTGGACTACAGCGAGGAAATGACCCGAGATACGTCCTCAGCCCCGCAGCAGCCGAGCGTCTTCGCAAGCTTAGGGAGCAGTCTACCATCAATCGCAGAGACAGCCATGAGACGACCGGCGGCAGAGGTTTCACAGTCGGAGAGAGGAATTTCGCCGGCGTTAATAAACTCTCGAGCGACCTCCTTGGCGCTAGAAACCATGTCCAACCGATCTACCCCAGTACCTCGGCCTATAGACCGCTTAACGTTCCCGGTCAATATGAATACCGAGATGGGCAGACCAGTGTCGACTCCGATCCCTCGTCGAAACCATCCGACCCAATTTCCAGTCCTAGAACAACCTCTAGCCCCACAAGAAGAGGATACCATAATGGACAACCCCGAGTTGGAGATGGTAATCAACCTCTTCAACAAACAGTGGAACATGTTCGTCCAAGCCCGAGAAAGCCAGAACCCCCGACTGATGAGAGTAGCCCTCATCCAAGCCATCTCCAGCCAAGAGGAGATCAGGGTACTAGCTGGAGGAGCCGAAATGCTCAGGATATGCGAGAACTGGATAGCGCGCGAAGAACTGGCGGATCTAGAGAGATCACAACTAGCCCAACAAAACCAGCAAGCAACTCGCCTGGCGATAACGCAAACGCCTCACGAGCATACAATCAGCCCGTCACCTGCACCCCAACACCGTTCGACACGCCAATCTTCGGACGTAACGTTCCTGGGTGCTGGCCCGTTGCAACAGGGAAGCAACCCTACGCCTCCACCCCCGCCACCGTCTACTCGACCCCCATCGGCTATAGTCAGGCAGAACCCCGCCCAACAAATGCAGCCATACCACCAACAGACTCACCCTCAACACCGAGAGGGAGTCTATTACCAACAACAGCCTCAACAAGAGACTATAGTTCAGAACTACGCTCCGCAAACTCGAGTCGTCCCGAACTACGCGCCCCAACCGCCCCACCACCCTCCACAGCAACGAAGCTGGAGAGGATCTGGGAGGAACTGGAGACGCCCCCAAGACCAGACGAGCAGATTACTCGAAGTAGGGGACTATCTCATGCGAGCAGAGAGGATAGCGGGCAGAGTGTTTGTCAGCCACAGAGTACATGTCACAGTACCTTTCATGTACCAAGTAACTGCAACACCTGTACTTATGTACATAAGTACTTATCCATAATGTTGATTACCTTTACCTCTTGTTATCTTATTATTATCATTAACTTATCTTATCCTATTTATCTTACATTTATCTTATCTGTTAATTACTTATCTATTTAAATACATACCTGTGTTCTACATAAGTAATTATCACTTACCTTTCACTCCCTTGTCCGTGAAATACCTGTACCACAAGTTATCCCTCTGCTACAGTATTTTCACGGTCAAATATTATTACAAATAAATATGTACATGTATTAAATAGTAAGTATTAAGTGTCAATAGAATTAATACATTCAATACATGCACAGATCACAATTATGACTACATTATTAGAGGATCTGTTAAGTACACATCAAGAGCAACTAGTACATTGATCAACTAGTACACAATTATGATGTCACTTACAGATCATGACAAATAATGATCAGTCACTCAATTGATGTGCTCATTCTCCTGGCCAAAGCTCCCTTGATTCTGAGCGCTCATTCTTTCCCCCTTCAGTATTCTGGAACTTATAATCCGTGCCACTTCCACTGATTAATCCCCAGAATATTCAGACACCAGTTAAACCAGTTAACATTTATATTGATACAGTACCCGTAACCAACATAAATCTTGTCTACATTTATTGTTCTTAAGCTTCAGTACTCTTACTCAACTTATCCACAGTATTCATAGCCTTGCTGAATATTCCCATCAACAATACCTGTTAATCTTCAACTAATTTTGTTAAAGCTTAATAAGTATTGTTAGCCCATTCCCTTTGGGGAATAACCAAATCAATCCCAGGTGAGTCTTAGTACCCTGGATGCCTATTAATACCTTGTATTGATCCGGATGCGCTGTTGATAGCAAGCCTCTCAGTAAAGACCATACTGATAGAGTGAAACCTCCTCTTTACAGGACTGGTATTAATCACCCACTACCTAACACTCACCACGCTCAAAAAACTTCAGTCAACTCATAGTAACAACCTTTTTACTATTAAATACTCAGGTTAGTTACCCAGAGGCTGACAGTGTTCAGGACGCGCGGCAGAGGGAGAGCGAGAGGAAGGGGGAGAAGACCTCCTCCTCAACAAGAAGGACCCCCAGCACCGAACCACCAGTAGAACCGCCGCTCGGCATCGACTTAGAAAACCTTTCCAACCCGTCAACTAGAGAATATTTTTTAAGGAATATTAATAGTGATCTGACTCAAGACGTGCCCCTACTCATTGAGGATAGACTAAAAGACTTGTTTTCAATTTTTCTCTCTGAATTGTCTGGCACCATGGAATCTATCCCCAACTCTCTTTTAGAATCTTGTTTTTCAAATTTCAATAACTCAATGAAAATTTCTATTTCAACATTAATCAATGATGAAATTGTCCCCTCCATTCTGAATAAAGTTATTGAGTCTCTGAGTGAAGTGAATAACAAGCCCCCTAACCACTGTCAGTGTTCCTGTGACATGGAAGTAGTGAAACACCACTTTGACAAAAAATTTGAAGGACTCCAAGATGTGCTATATGTGAGAGACACCTTACACCACTCTGAAAAAGAAGAATTGAAAAATAAATTGAAGACCTTAGAAAAAAATTTATCTGAAAAAATAAATTCTGTGTCAAACCTAGTTAATGATTTGAACATAAATGAGAATAACAGGTTTGAACAGGTGAAAAGGAGGTTAGGAGATTTTCATAACACTACTCTCCAAATAAATAGTAAGCTAAATTCTATTATAGAACCAGAGTATAAGGAATCTCCCCCACATCTTCAGTATAACAATCCTTTTTTAAATGCCCAAGCTGAACATTTGCTTGACCAACCCCTTCCTGAAGCAGTTAGAGAGTTTCAACCTTATGTTCCCAGTACCACAGTCCCCCTGACTAATGTGGAACAAGTAAAGAAACTACCCTCTGTTGACTTGGAAGACAAACCAACTGCAAAATCAGAATCCCCACAGTGGCTTAAGGATTTTCCATTCATTGATCATGGAGAAGTGAGCATTGAGGTTAGAAATCAGCTATGGAAAGGTATACCTAAAACCAGTGAATGGACCACTTTCTCAGGTGAATTACCATATAATCATGAACTATGGTTGCAGAACATAGAAGTGTTTATCCAAGACTACCAAATGACTGATGACATGATAGTCAGCAGATTGACTACACTTCTCACGGATACTGCTAAGAATTGGTACATTGGCATCAGAGACAGACATGGAAGAAAATCTTGGGCCTGGTGGAAGAACACTATTAGAAATAAGTTTGGAACTCACAACTGGAAGTGGAAAATGAGGATGGACTTTGAGAAAGACCACTTCTCAGTAGAAAATAGAAAAGTGCACCAGTGGTTTAATACTCAAAGAGAAAGGCTTAGAGCTTACCAACCTGAACTTAGTGACTATCTTATCTGTGAAAAAATACTCAAGCAATGCCCTGGTTCCTTAGAACATGCTGTTAAGAGCAGATATAAGAAAGCAGATGAAGATATGAATTTTGAGGAGATGGTTATTATTATAGAGGAAGTTCTGGACAGAGCAATGGGCCAATACAGACCTAGGTATAATAACCCATCCCAAAATGTTAGATCCTCTTGGAGAAATGGAAATCAGTCAAATAAGCGTGAAGATATTAAAACTGAGACAGATCAAAAGAAAACTCCTGCTACGGCTCCCGCAGTTACCAAAGGAAAAGATGTCTGTCATTTCTGTAAACAACCAGGCCACTACTCCAGAGAATGCCCCAGGAAAAGAAGCAAAATCAATAACATTGAGCTGAATTCAGGGGATGAGGAGGAGGACAGGAATGACCAGGGAAGCCAATCAGAAAAAGAGGAAGACAATCAAGAAAACAATCATATGATCCTAGCATTGGATAATGATGGTACCTCAGACCCCCTGATAAACTTTAACTTTGATGAATGTGCAGTTGAGTGTGAGTTAACAAATGAATTCTCCATAGCCGAAATACAAGCTGAGTCACATCAACCCCAGACTTGGGATAGGAACTGCCAAAGTTCCCATGTAGAGGATGCTAGACTAATGAGATGTAAACCTGATAAAGGCAAGGGCCACCTGATTGGAAAATCAAACCTGACCAGTGTCTTGATTGATGGCAAAGAGTTCTCATGCTTGCTAGATAGTGGTGCTTCCTGCTCAATTATTAGCCACTCACTCCTAGACCACATCAAACCTTTGTGGAAAGATGACCTAATGCCTATTAACCACGCTAGATTCCATAGTTGTAGTGACCAATTACAACCTTTAGGCATAATAGAGATGCCCCTTATCTTCCCCCATACTAAAGGATCAATGAGAATAATAGCTGAATTTTTAGTCATGAGAAATGCTAGAATCAATTATCTCATCCTAGGAAATGATTACATGTCCTTGTATGGGTTTGATATCACCAATAGCAAAGAAAGATTCTTTACCATAGGAAATGATAATAAGAAGAAGAAATTCAGTTTTAAATCCCATGTAACTGACAAGATGCCTCTTTCTACTGAAATCTCCTCAGTCAAGAAAACAAACCCCATGCTCCAGAAATTTATATCTGAAGAATTATCTGATGCAAAGATAAGTGAGCAGTTATCCAGTGAGCAGAAAGAAAAATTGTTTGAAGTACTATACTCAAACAAACTTGCTTTTGCTAACACAGATCAACCTCTAGGTGCCATCAAAGGCCATGAAGTCCACTTGACTTTGACCACTGAAAGACCTTACCCCCCTCTCCTGCGCAAAGCCCCTTATCCTGCCAGCCCCAAAAGTAGAGAAGCACTGGAGGAACACATAGAGGAGTTGGTCAGACTGAATGTGCTGAGGAAAGTTGGCCATAATGAAGTTGTAGAAATCACTACTCCTGTGATTATAGCCTGGCACAATGGAAAATCCAGGATGGTAGGAGACTTCAGATCCTTGAATTCCTACACAGCAGCAGACAGATATCCAATACCCAAAATCAGTGAAACCTTGAATAATCTGGCCAAAGCTAAATTCCTGACTAGCATGGATGTATTGAAAGGTTTCCACCAAAATTTGATAGCTGAGGACTCCAGACACTTGTTGAGAATTATTCTGCATAAAGGCATCTATGAATATTTGAGAATGCCCTTTGGGATCAAAAATGCCCCCTCTCATTTCCAAAGGATGATGGACATAGAATTTAGAAGAGAGTTAGACGAAAAGTGGGTCATCATTTACATTGATGACATCATTATAATGTCAAATACTTGGGAAGAACACTTAATAAGAATCAGTAGGATCTTACAGATTGTCATTAAGATGAACATGAAAATCTCTTTGAAAAAATGTAATTTTGGTTTCAACCAGATCAAAGCCTTGGGCCATGTGGTGTCTGGGATAGCGATAGGAATAGACCAGAACAAAGTAGCAGCTGTTTTGCAAAAACCAGTCCCAAACTGCAAGAAAGAGGTTCAATCCTTCTTGGGTTTTGCTGGATATTACAGACAACACATTGAGCACTTTGCAGACATTGCTAGACCACTAACAGAATTGACCAAAATTGAAGTTGTGTTTGAAATGACCCATAGGAGGCTTGCAGCCTATAACCTCCTCAGAGAGAAACTTACTTCAGCTCCTTTGCTCCTTTTCCCTGACTGGAAATACCCCTTCATCTTATATGTAGATGCCAGTATGACAGGACTAGGTGCTGCCCTCCATCAAGTCCAGAAAATTGATGGAATCAAAAAAGAAGGACCAATTGTTTTCATCTCTAGACAACTCAAAGACAGTGAAACAAGGTATGGAGCTAGCCAATTAGAGTGCTTGTGTCTAGTGTGGGCAGTGGAAAAGTTGCACTATTATCTGGATGGTAGTTCCTTCAAAGTTGTAACAGATTGCACTGCTTTGAGATCCTTGCTCAACATGAAAACCCCTAACAGGCATATGCTCAGGTGGCAAATTGCAATACAAGAATACAGAGCCAACATGGAAATAGAACACAGAGATGGGAATATACATAAGAATGCTGATGGTTTAAGCAGATGGGCTTTACCAAATGACCCCAGC